AGCTCAAAACAATGAAGTGGTTCTAATTTCCAGGCTCCAGGTGGAGGCTGCTCCGCTCTTCCTATTTCCAGTTAAGAGCATCATTAAACGTGAGAGCAGACAGCACATTGAGAGGCCAAGCGTTTTATTAATTCATCATCAGAACTATCTCCGTGCATTAATATTAATAGCCTCAAATTGGATTTCATTTAAGAGGTGAAATAAATATGCAGATACTAAAAGCCTGCACAACCTGAGAGCCTTGCGATGGGCATTCACCTGGAGCTGTGACTCAAGAGGGCTGCTGTCAGCCTTCTTCCCTGGACCAGAGCAGACCGGAGGGAGAGAGGGTGCTGAGAAACGTCCACACAGTGAGGACACTGCTAGGCTCACCGAGGAGCGGCAGATCAGCTGGCAGGAGGTCAGGGTGCAGGGCGGGCGCTCCTCTTGGATGCCTTTGTTTCTTCTTTTTCTATTCAGCTGTGCAGAAACGATACCATTGCACATCTCATATACAGAGACATGTATTGGATCCTCTTCATGTACATCATGATGTGTGAGTGAAGTACGTGAGCTCTTTCTAATATTCTGTATGAAAGAGCCGTGAAAACATGTGGGGAATCATTTTTGTACAAAGAAAACTTCTCTGCAGTTATGTTTTATTCCCAAGTGGAGATGGGATGACGAGAAATCCAGTCACACTGAGTCATACAAAGGCGAGGGTTTCCAGGATGGACATACAAATTATTTGAATTTTATTCAGAAAAGTCTTTGATATATTTAAAGTTAAGTTGAACTTTCTTTGGTTAATTTAAAGTTATATATGTAATTTTCTACCAAGGTACATTAGCTTGCTAGGGCTGTCATAACAAAGAACCACCAACTATTGGCTTAAAACAACAAATATTTATTTTCTCACAGTTCTGAAGGCCAGAAGTCTGAAATCAAGGTATGGGAAGGGCCGCGCTCTCTCTGAGACTCTGGGTAGAATCCTCCTCGCCTCTCCCAGCTTCTGGTGGTGGTTGGCCATCCCTGGTGTCCTGGGCTTGCAGATGCATCACTCCAGTCTCTGCCTCTGCCGCCACGTCACATGGCCTTCACCTTGTGTGTCTCTGGCTTCCTGTAAAGACTCCAGTCATACTGGATTCAGGTCCACCCTGATGAGCTTGTCTCAACTTGACTACACCAGCAAAGAAAGACCCTCTTTCCAAATAAAGTCACAGTCACAAGTACCGGGGTCAGGACTTGAACATATGTATTGGAGGGGACACAATTTATCGATAACACTAGGATAATTTTGAGAATGAAAAAACAAGTATTTGTAAACTAGTGTACCTAAAGCTGAAGGAGAGTGCCATGGAACACCTGGAGGAAGGCACAGGTGTTGCAAGGAGAAGAAGGAGGAGGGGGCAGCTAAGGATGGCCTTGCAGGTGCTGGAGGACGGCACACGTCTTGGCCGGCAGAAGGACCAATCCTCTGGCCAAGGCAGAGAAGGCTGGCATCACGTGGTGTGACGTGAAGGTACAAACCCTCCCAGCCCTGCACCACCACGGGACACTTGCTGACCACTCGTAACTGAGACCCTGGAGGGCTCTCCTTCAGGAGGAGGCACTTGGCTGGCAGGGCCACTCGAGACTTGAATGCCATCTGTGCTTTGGAGAGAGCGACAGCATCCTGGCCCCATGCTCAGTGAACGGGGTGGCCCCGGGTGAAGGGATGCTGCCAGCAGGATTTCTGGAAGGTTCTGGGTCTCAGGGGGACAGAGTAGAGCAGGAACCAAAGACATGGAGCGCTTTCAAGAGGCAAGGCATCCCTCTCATAACTCTGCACAGTTTGTCCTGTTGCTCAGCATAAGTAGCACTGTTTAAAAGCCTACACTTCTTTGGGCAGATTTGGTTCCTGCCCAGGTACCCGGGAGCTTTCTTACAATACCTATCCTGAGAGTGTGCAGGATTCGAGACGGAGTAGCGTGGGAGTTGATGCTCTTATAAACCAGGTGGGTGTCAAGGTGAACGTACTGCCCTGCTCCTTCCCACCCTGAGAACACCTGGATCTGTCTCCTTCTTTCCTCATTGCAGGACCAGGCACCTCCCAGAGCGGCCGTTACTAGATCCAGTGGCTCAGCTCAAAGGCATTGTCAACCTCCCTCTGGCTGTGCGACTCCGGATTGCTGGAATAACTTCCTGTTGTTTGAGTGCCTTGTAAAAAAGAAAAGAGAGAAAGAAAGAAGCAAATTCTTATTTACCCACCTCAGAACACTGAGATATAACATTTAAAGATTAATTTGTTATATTATAATGTATTCTGCTATTAGAATATTTTAGAATAGACACACATAATCCAACATAATGGATAATTTCTATTTCTTAAATTGTATTTCAAATGAGCAGTTAATGATTTCTGAGACTGGAAACTTAAGCAGAAAGAAAATGAACAGAATCCTATAATTGATTTAATCATATACAAAAGTGGATTTTTTGGAAGGAGAAACTCAATGGAAATGCAAATATATTTTTATATATAATTTCTTTCCCAGATAATTCAAAATACTATTGTATTGGGGGAGGAGTTTTTAGGTAAATTCTCCCTAATCAAAGTTTCTCTACAAATGCTCTGGGAACCTGAAAGTCAATGCTACTATTAGTCGGTTCAAGAATTCCAACCTCAAGTAGAGATGTCTCTTCAACGTCTATGTGGTTTTTTATCTGCATCACCGTTGGTTGAAGGACCAGGTGTGATTATTATGAATTCTAGAAATAAAGCAGAGCATTTCCTGTAAATTGTAGTCACACCAGCTGAGCACCTGAGGCGCCAGAGAACCAAGAACCATCCAGGATGTCCACGGCAATAGGGCAGTGGGCCTGGCTCACATCCAGGGCCTTGGTGGAGCTTCCGGGAGGACCTGAGGGGCTCGGGGACACAGGGGACCATTGAGGCAGGATGGGTGCCCCGAGGGTGGGCACAGACCTGGACTAGCTTCCCCCCCCCCAGGTTGGACTGGCAGGTGCTGTGACATCGGTCAAGGAAGAATGGAGTGAAGCTCTGTCCTTTGTGTAATTTGGGGCCATTCCTTACCCTTGATAAGTGTAGGTCACTGTCATTCTGGATCTGTTCTTGTAACAGACTCTCTCCTGGATGAAACTTTCTGTTCCTATTGTAATTTGGTTGGTTTTAAGTGTACAAGAAATAAATCCATATATTCTAATCATAGCGAAGTTAAAAACACACAAGTAGGTGTGTGAAATGGAGAGAACCATAAACACATACTTCCATCCCCTTCCAGGGTCCAAGAGAAAAGAAGGAAACAATAAAATAAAATAACAGTGCTGGGAAAGAAAGAAAGAGCAGAACTTCAAAGAGCATTTGATGAAATAAATGTAAAATCATTGATCTAATTTTCTCTTTTTCATTGTATCCACTTTTAGGATTTTCTCAAACTTTCTATACATTGCTGCATAAATTTTGAAGTAATCATCTCAAGAGAAACCTCACTGCTCTTCCCAAAGCAAGCCCTCAGAATTCCTGAAAATACTCTGTATTGTTACATACCCCAGTGCACCTATACTCACGTGGGGTGGATTTTTATGAAAATTAAGGCAGATCACACTTACTGTTCTGCGTCTTGATTTTCCCCCCGATTTAACTCTGTATCTTAGAAACATTTCTTGTCATTACCCAAAGAATCACCTTGTATTCTATACTCTAAATGTTCCGTACCTTTTTAGGGGGGTGGAGAGGCATTTCCTATGATGAACAATTAGATATTTTCTGGGTTTTCTGCTATAAACATTGCCACAATGGACAACTTTCCACATAAATTTTTTGCTGGAATGAAAACAGATTTTTGCACGTATTGCCAGTGGTGAATTTACAGAACTGCAAAGACTTACTTTAAAAAAAATGCTACCGATTTACACTCCCATCAAGTAGATAAAAACTGATCACTTTTCCCAATTTTGTGTGCCCAAAATGGTTTCTCACTTTCGTATCTATTTCTCCAGTTACTTGTGCATTTGTGCGTACGTTAAATGTCTTTTTACTAGATTACTGGTTTATTATAAGAGAATACAACTCAGGAGCAGCCAGATGGAAGGGACGCAGAGGGCCAGGGAAAGGGCGTGGAACTCCCGTGCCCTCTCCAGGCGCCACCCTCCCAGAACCTCCACGTGTTCACCAACCTAGAAGCTTCTAATTTTTATAATTGACTACTTTTTTATTTGGTTGTTTTTTTCCTAATTAATTTGTAGATCTTCTTTGCATATCAGGGATATGATATAGATTGTAAATATATTTTTCAGGTTTGTGAAATGTTTCTAAACTTTGTTCATGGCTTTGTTGCATAGTTTTCCATTTTAATTCATTCAACACTGCTGATCCTATGTGCCTGTGGGAAGGGATCTAGGTTTTGAAAAATATATATATATGCATACATTTTCTTTCTACACAAATGTATGCGCATATATTATGTGTGCATGCATGTGTGTATATATATAGTACACATACACATGTATGGAATTTAAACTTTTGTTCTCCCTGCACCAATAATGTTATAAGAATTTATCAATATGAATAAGAGATGAAGTCCACTCTGTTTTGTTCTATTGCTTTAGCTTCTCTAGCCACAGGACTCTGGCCCGTCCTCCCCATCAGCCTTCGTCCTGACAGTCCAGTAAGTATCCATGTGCATATGTGTGAGCAAACAGGGAGAGGGCTTTCTCTTTGCTTGCTTTCTTGTCGTGAGGTGGCGCTGTTTCTGGACACCACTCAGTATTTGTTCTGCTCGCTCAACAAGCCCCTCTGTCGCTCCCTCTGGGTGGGTCCTGGGGGCCCTAATGCATTCTCTGTACGGCTGCTTTCCCAGCCGTGCTCGGGCAGAACCCTGCTCCGTCTGTGGGCATTCACCTCGTTTCTAATGCTTTGCTACTTCAAGCAATAAAGGCATATACATCCTTTAGATACTTTCTTAGATATTGATGATTTTAATCATTTGCAATAGATTCCCAGGAGTCAGATTGCCAGGCCAAAGAGTATGTTATTTTAATTTTAATAGAAGTTTCCAGATTGCTTGTCCAAAGTCCAGCACTTCTCAGCCCCACGAAGAAGACATCGAACATCTCTTTTCCCAGCATTCCCACACTGGATGAATACGTCTCAGAAAAGTTTCCTTTCCTTTTTAAGCTATGAATTATTTAATAGGTCGTTTTCAAATTTCCAAGTTTTGAGCTTTTTCTTAAATGTTCATCTGTTTTTCTTCTATTGTTCTTGGGGAATTTGCCTGATTTCCATCACAGAGTAGCATTTATTGACATTTTCTTAAGGTCCTCTCTAATTCATGTCAATTTTGGTAACGGTTTTACGTTTGAGAAGAACATGTACATGTTCCTGGTGGTACACAACCTGCACACAAGAATGTATCCTTACTTGTTTGTGGGATACTTTATCAGAGCAAAGAATGTTCAAATATTTCTGCGGTATTTCTATAAACTTGCACTTTATCTGTTTCAAAGTTTTATTGTTAGATGAAAACATTTTGTTTACTTGTAATTCCTTGCTATATTTTTTCTTGCTGCAGATAGCATGCAGCATAATATAAAATCCATGTGTTCTTTTCAATCACTCTTTGCATGAACTCTTTCCTTGAGAGCCGTCTGATGGTCATGTTCATGCCAGTTTGTTTCCTTATTTCTGTCACATTTGTGTGTCACAAGTTGCGGTAGGCAGCCTCACACGTGTTTATAAATGATGCCCAGCTCCTGGCATCCAAGTCCTTGAGTGTGGGCTACACAGAGTGACTTGCTTCTAAGGAACAGAATCTGCCAAATTTCTGGGATTTCCACTTCCATTTAGGTTGTGAAGTGTCTGTGGTTTGTATCTTGCTCACCCTCCCTGGCCCTTTTCAACTGATCCCTCTGATGAAACAAGCTGCCCTGTGGTCCCCAGTGAAGAGAGGCCCATGTAGCAAAAAACTGAGGGTGGCTTCTGGCCAACAGCCAGCGAGGAACTGAGACCCACAGTCCCACAACATGTGAGGAGCTGAATCCTGCCAACAACCACTGAGTGAGCTTGGATCCTGCCCCAGTCGAGCCTTGAGATGAAACCACAGCCTGAGCCAACACCTTGGCTGCAGCAGTGGGAGATTTTAAGCCAGAGAGCTTGGCTACACCTCACCCAGACTCCAGACTCAGAGGAACTGTCTGTTGTGTTAAGCTACTAAGTTTTGGGGCAATTCATTACAGAGCAATAAATAACTGACACACTCATAGACAGAATGTAGATGGGAAGTCTCTCTAATCTTAGTCACCTGAGATTGCTGAGTTTAACCAATTCCATTCAACCATTGTCATTGATCTTGGGTATCTTTAGACTTATTTTTGTTGCCTTATTTTATGTTGGCAGTTCTTTTTAAATTTTAACATATTAAATTAATTTAGGTAAACATATTTTAAATTGTGTTGTTAAAGCATACTTTTTCTATGAAATTATTTGCTAAAACCTAAAGAATCCAAGTAATTTCCATTTGGAATCTCTGGTTTGTTTACTAATACCCCACAGAGCATAATATTTCAGATTCTAATGCCTTTGGAATCCACTTCCTGCCAGAACTGGACTCAGCAAATGTGTAAGACACAAAATACCTGGTACTGGGTTTTTTTCTGAAAGAAAAATTAAACAAACACCATAAACCATGCAGATATACACATTTCAGAAGCTCAGACACTTCCAGTGGAACTCCAACTGTGCCCTCACGGGTTTGCACAGATGTGGTGCTTGCACAGGCAAACCTACATGCAGTGAGCATGAAGGAAACACATTGTGTGTATCACTCATTTTACCGAGTAGAAGATTATCTTAAAATATTAGATTTCTGAATGAGAGGGCAAATCTTGTCCCCAGATGCTCTTGCTGATAGATCTAAATTGAAACTTGAGGGCAAAAAATCTGTCCAAGTGTCTACTTAAAACAGGGAAGAAGAGATTCTGGGCCAAATATGCAGCCTTTGGAAATACACTATTTCTAGATAGTCAATTTTCTTATCTCTAAGCTTCCCTGAGATTTGCTCAGTTAAAGCCTGAGCTGAAGATTAAAAAGGAAAAAAAAGAAGAATGCCAAACTTCCCTCTGACCAACACTTATCCCTCACCTACAACTGAACTGATCATCTCCCCGTGGTGGCCCCTGGGCTCTGTGTCAGACACGCTGGGACTCCATCACACACTCCTCGGCCGGTTCTGCACTGGGGAGGCTGGAGCAGAATTGTGATTTGAGATTATTTACTTTCATAGTCAGGTTAATTAAAGCTCTCAAGTCTGTGCCTATTCAAGCTAAATAATGTAATTAAAAAGACATTTAGTTTTTCACCTGTTCATTATAGCTGTTACAGTAACAAATGTTTTCCCTGAAATCACAAAATGGTTTCTATTTTTAATCTCTTGGTTCATGATTTTCTGCTCCCAACTTTCTGATGAATTCCCTTTAAGTTGGAAATGAATCGAACACTCAGCTTTTTGGAGGTAACAGCAGCCCCACTGAATGTAGACTATGGTACAAAGTTAATAGACCACGCGGCCAGAAGGTCACTTAGTGACTGGGAGGGCAAGGTTTGGGTCCCAGTGATGCCCGGTGGTGACCTCAAGCCTTGCGTTCTGCACATCTCCATTTCCTAAATTAAAAAATCCATAATAAGAATATGGTTGATGGCTTGTTGTCTATTTGTTCAAAAAAGAATATTGTTAGGATCAGTAGTACTCCTTGTAAGGACGTTGTGGTGCAGATCGTTGTCCAGACTGGGCATGCCAAGTGTGGGGGGCCAGGTTCCCACACGACCCACAGTTTATCGAGAGTGTGAATCCACAACCATTCAAGAATAACACGTGGGTATTTCTCTATATATTAAATTTAGAAACAAGTTCATATAAAGTTCATAGAAAAGGTAAATTTGTCATTTTGAACTGCAACCTTAAGTGAAAAGACAATGGGAAAAGCAAATAGCTGTGAGGTTACTGTAATGTCTTAAAGGGACGGCAATAAATTGCCAGGACGTTTTTATAGAGTTTCTTAACCTTCGGCCTTTGGAAGGGGGAAATCAATAAGATATTAAGAAAATCATGAATTAATGTTTCATAGAGTGTAGACATCAGTAAAAGCTCTGTGGCTTAGATAAATGTCCAAATCAGGAACCTCGATTCTCCCGTAGGAAGTTGAGACACCAATGACAATCTGGATGGGAACCCTGTTATCCCTCTCCGCTTACATCAGAGGAGGGCTTCACAGTGTTATGCGGTGTATTGAAAACTTAGAATGTATCTGGGATATGATGAACTCTCCAGAGGAATTGAAATATAAATAATCCTTCTTTCATTACATGAAGTCACTTTTGCAGCAGCTGGTATTTTATAGGAATTTTCTAATTGACTCACATTGTATTTAAACAACTAGGCTACGGAGATTAAATTTTTTATGATTAGTGGAAAATACACATTGTCTGGCCTCAAATGATCTATAGAAACATGTATCCTTATATAAGGAGCAGGGCCCTTTCCCTCCTTCTCTTATTCTCTTCTCAAGCACATTCACTCTCTCTCTCAATTTCTCTTTCAGTGTCTCTCTCTCTGTCTCCGCCTCTGACTCGCTGTGTCTCTATGTCTCTGTCTGTGTCTCTTTCTCTGGAGCAGAGGGCACCTGCACCAGGGCTGACTCAGGTCTGTAGGAATAGCAGATCAAGCACATTCCTAGAGGGCTAGACGTTGGGAGTCTTCAGGAGTGTTCAACCACCCTTTCTTCCTCCTTCTTAAAAAAAAATCCAGGTTTCTACAAGGACTGCCAGTCAGTCTCCTGTTCGGTAACTGGGTAGCCCAGTTCTGCCTCATAACCAGGGCTGCAGGACAGCAGCGGCCCCTCTGAGTGCCATAGGCACGTCTTCCTGAAGGCCAGGGCTGGACCCCGGGATCTGTGGTTTTTCTTTCCATGCCCTTGTGCTTGGCAGAGTGCCCCCAGCCTCCAGAGGAGAGACTCCCGTGGAAATGGACTTCATCGTGCTGGGATGCTCATGGTACTGGGGTCTGCAGGTAGATCTGGAGACAGGGATTCCTCGTGTGGACTCTGACCTCTGATTTCATTAAACACACACCACATGATGCCAGTGGGTGATTAAGCTCTCTGCTTCCCCAGTTCCATTAACAGAACTAAGAGAGGACACATACCAGCTGGTCCTTGTCCACCTATGATTTCCGATTGCTTGGACCAGCAATGTGAAAGATGTTATTATGGTGAGTCGCTGGCTCAAAACCTTCGGAGGGGGGCCGGTCCCGTTGAGTAGTGATTAAGTGCGTGCGCTCCGCTACTGGCAGCCTGGATTCGGATTCCGGGCGCGCACCTACGCACCACTTGTCAGGCCATGCTGTGGCGGCGTCCCACATACAACAACTAGAAGGATGTGCAATTATAACATACAACTATCTACTGGGGCTTTGGGGGAAAAAAAGGAGGATGACTGGCAATAGATGTTAGCTCAGAGCCAGTCTTCCTCAGCAAAAAGAGGAGGATTGGCATGGATGTTAGCTCAGGGCTGACCTTCCTCACAAAAAAAAAAAAAAAAAAGAATCAGCTGGAGACCTTATTAAAAAAAAAAAAACCTTCGGAGCCCTTCTCATCAGCCTCGGAGTAAAACAGAAAACCCACCGAGGTGCCCATCCAGCCTCAGACCGCCCTGACCTGGCCCTGCCTTTCTCTCCAGCACTGGCTTCCTCCTGTGCTCTCGGCCACCTGAAAACCCGTTGCCCACTCCCACTTCCCAGCCTGCTTTTCTTCCCTCCACCTGGAACCGCCCTCCAGCCCCTGCCCGGGGCCCTCCTCCCTCTTCTTTGAGGCCTTGGCCCACAGGGCCTGTCGGGCAGCCACTCCAGAGCCACGCCCCTGGAACAGCCTTTCCAATCCCATCCCTCTCCAGGGCAGCCCTGCCCTGATCCCCCACAGCGTGCTTCAGTGGGGATCTGGTGTAATTGTAGGTGACCTGTGTGTTGTTCCCTCCCACCCCAGGAGGGTGGGCCCCTGAGGGCCAGGGCCCTGTCTGCCTTGTTGGCCATGAGTCCACAGCACCCAGAGCAGAGCCTGGTGCCCTAGGCTCTCAACAAAGGATAAGGCAACACTTGTGGTATTCACGGTGCCAGGCACGGCTCTGCCATCACACATCCCAGCTCGCTCTGCCCTCCTAACGGCTCTGTGAGTAGCAGCTGCTGGTCCCCTCGGTTTTCATTTGAGGAAATTGAGGCACAGAGAGATTCGAGGGCCTGCCCAAGTCTTGTGGCTGGTAGAGGATGGAGCTGGGACTTGATCCCAGGAGTTTTGGCTCCCAAATCTGCCCTTGACCTCCAGCCTATCCTGCACAGAAGCACAAATACACGTGTTGTCCCTCCGCTGTAGGCAGGTTTTTAAGATGCATTTTCTCCTCCTGTTCTCATGATAAACCTGCGGGCTGGGTCCAGCTGAGTGTGCTGGGGCTCAGAGAGGGTTTGTGGGCTGCACAGTCACACAGTCCAGCAGGACACACCTGCTCCTCACCCCCATCCTCCCCACAAAGGGCAGCCCTGCCAGAGCACTTGTCCCCTTGAGCAGAGACTAAGGCCATCTCCAGGCAGATGAGACCAGTGGTCACCACGCTACCTCTGCCCAGTTGACTCCATGCATACACTCTGTCTGAGTCATTGTCGTAACAGCAGTTGCCTGGGGTTGAAAACTGATGGCAGTTAAGTTGGTTTTTCCCTAAGTGGGGGTGGGGAGGGTGGTGGGGAGAGGTTTTGTGGAGGGAGGGAGAGAGCTGCTGGAGGGGCAGACCGTCTCTATGGTCCCCTCTGTAAGAGAAAGAAGCCTCTGGTTCTTCGTACATCAGAGTCCCATGTGGATGTCAGGACGGAACCAGCCCAGTCCCAGTTCACGCTTAGACTCTGGGAGGTGCAGAGTGGCCCCTCGCCTGAGCCCCCGGCTGGGAAGCGGGTGTTAGCACACAGCAGCTGACAGCCAGAGCTGTCCCGCTGAGAAGAGCTGAGGAGCAGGGGGCTGGTGGTCATCGGGGAGGGTGGGTTTCACTTCCACCCCTTTTCAGACCTTGTGAGTTTTGTACCATATGTGTATGTCACCTATCCAGAACTAACTTTGTGCTTAATTTAAAACAGTCACCACAAAAAGGGCACCAGACTTTTGAGAGTGTGACCCACGAATTAGTATTTAACATTTTTCCCCAGTGATTTTGCTGCTCAGCTAGCAGTGGGAGGGGGAGGGGGTCGGCACTCAGTAGAGAGAGAGTGGGCTTGGGAAGGTCTCACTGGACCAGGGCACATCCTTCCCCCAAAATGGAGCCGCTGAGGCTGGGCAATTGTCCGGACAGAGAAAGCCTGTTTGCAGAAGTAGGGCAGAATCACACAGGGCCGTTTTATAGCTGCTCCAGGCACGCGTGCTGTGTGGTGTTGGGACTCGAGGGGAAATGCCTCTCTGGCATCCGCACAACAAAGGCAGCCTGCGCCTGGCAGAGGGGTGCACTGCCCTTCCCATCCGCTGAGAAGCGGGTCATCGAGTCTATCTGTGATCAACTCAGGGAAGGATGTTTTGGGGGGAAAGTGGCTTAGTTAAACCAAGTGGTAATGGGGGATTTGGATCTATTTGGGCACGTCAGTCAGCCGCGGCTGAGGGCAGTGATGATGCCACTTCTTCACTGGTAAAAGAGATGACAAGAGTACTCGTTTACAAGAATCTGTGACGAGGGCCTTTCCTTTCAAATAGGAGTAACCAGTATGAATGACTTTGAAAATACAAGTGACCCTGTACGACAGATTGTCACCCAGCAGGGTAACCTCCAGGCACCTGACCAGTGCTGAGGTCCTGTCATTCTAGTGGTTTGGGAACAAGGCTTGGTGTCCAGCCGGCCACCGGAGAAGGACCTAAGTTATTAGCCCCAATTATCTTCCCATAAACAACACTAAGTGAGTTTGACACAGCTGAAGGGTCCTCTTTTTCATGGCCTAATCTGGCTCTGTACACAGCAGGAGTGGCCCAAATAGACTTCCTACCTTCTAGAAGTTACTCAGGGCTCCTCTTAGCTATTAAAATGTTCAGACTGTGTACCACTATGTTGCTAGTGCAGCATGCCTACACATGCCCAGTCTTCTGTGCGGTCGTGTGTTCGATGCAATCATGTCGCTGGTAGAGTAGCATATCTGCCATCAGTGAGTACTCATTGTGAGCCAGACGCTGTCCTTGGAGGTCTGCCTCGATTTTCTCATTTACTACAGACAGCAACCTGAGGAGGGGGGGCGCTGTTCTTATCCCCATGTAAATGAGAAAAACCCAGAGTTGACTGAGAAGAAAACAAAGGGGCGTGTGTGTGGGTGTGTGTTGGGACAGGGGGCAGAAGGTGATGTTGCCAACCTTGGAACAGAGACTATGGAAAACCACAGGTGTGGGGCAGTTTATTAGCTCATCACAGGGCGTCCAGCCTTTCCTCCCCCCTTTATCACCTGCTCTCTTTGAAAAGGCAGAGAGGGAGGAAGTGTCCTGGGCTGGCCCCTTGCGTGGAGAAGACGGACAGAATGAGCTCCGACAGTGATGGAGTTCTGGTGATCGCATGGGCCAAGCGGCCGTCCTCAGGCTGGTGAGGAAGGCTGTCTGCTGGCAGTGATCAGCCACTGCTCGACACCAGACAGGCGACGTCACCTTCCGGCTGAGAGTGGGCTGGACCAGGAGGGGAGATGCAGGCTCGTTGCCAGCATCTATTTCCCAGCTTCGTCAGAAATGTCAGGGTCCTCAGGCCTCTCGCTCTGTCAACCATCTGTAGGGGAGAAGGGCTGTGCACGGATTCCATCGGCTGGTTTTGACGTGCTTTTCTCCTCGCCTCCACGCTTGCTTCTCTCCCTGCATCAGCCCAGCAAAGGCAGCCACCAGGTTGCTCTCAGCTCCACGAGAGGCACAGGCCCCCTCCAGCCGGGCGGGTCACGGCCCGAGCTCTTTATCCTGCTGCGGAAGATGCTCCTTGGCACCAGCATTACGCTTTGATGATGCACAAAATGGAAAATTGTCCAGGATGTCAGCTTTTGAACAAAATGCAGGTGAATAATCTCCTCCCAAGCGGCATTACCAAGCTGACCCGTGGTGGTTGCATCTGTCACTGTGGAACATGAAAGGCGCAAGAAAGTGACACTAATGCGCCATATTGCCCACTCGTGTTTACAAACAGAAGTGACTCCACTTTGAGCTCCAGACGTGAGCGGCCGCATCCGGACGTGGCTTGCCTGCGGGCCCGGGAGGAGAGTGTGCGTGGTGTTAAACTTCAGGAAGAACGCTGCTTTTTACTTCAAGAGCAATAGCAGCAAACGCTTTCTCCGCAGCGCCCAGCGAAAGAGAGCTGGGGTACTGAGAGTCTGCGGGAACAGGCCAGGGCCCCTCTTCCCAGGAAAGCCTGCAAGGCAGCCCTTCACAGCATCTTGGACCAGACGCTCGAGGACAACTGAGCCTAAGAAGCCAGTTGGCTGAGTTTTGTTCATCCTGTAAAAGGCATTTGTTATGGAGTCAGGAGCAGGGAGGACCGTGGGGGACCCGGAAAACACTGAAAGCACCGAGGCACCTGTGAACCCCACATTCCTGCAGATGCAGGCTCCCCACCCACCATTCTCCGTGGAACCTGTCTCCTGCCCTGAAAGCAAGACTTGAGCATCCAGGCTGGACGTTCAAGGAGGAGTTGGGAGGAAAGTGTGGAGTCCCCATTTCCCTCAGGAGGAATTGCTCCTCCTGGAGAATCCAACATCTTTGAACAAGTGGAAGAGGGAAGTTATCCTCACTTTCGTTTGCAGAATAGTAAGAGATGCAATTTACAGCTTAGCCTTGCCAGCCTTGCTCAGAGGAAAACTGAGGTGTGCTCCGCCAGCAGGCACGGTCCCAGGCTGAACACACCCCAAATGGTTTACAAAATAAGTTTGTGATCCTTAAAGGTGCAGAGCAGTAACCTGGAGTGTGTCTGAGACTCCAGGGCTGAGCTGGAAGGACGCTTTTCCAGTGCTTCTTGGCTCAGCATACAGTGTCACGTTCTGTCCCCCCTTCTGGCTCTGATGTGAGTGACCAGGAAGAGGCTAAACGCTGGATGCAGACGCGAGCCTCCCGTGCACTCTCAGAGCCAGCAGAGCTTCCAGAAGCACCGCTCAGGACAGGTGGGGTGCGGCAGGGTCTTGAGCTCCTGTAACCCATCTCCCAAGAGGCCATCATGCGTCCTGTGCGGACCTGTGGGCAGAACCAGAGTTCCTCCCTTTCTCTGCTGCCTTTGCCCTGCCTGCAGAAGTCGGGGCTCTTGAGTCTAACATGTTGGCGTTTGGGAGTTCGAGTGACACAGCACATCATGAGTATTGTTTAGGGAAGAAAAAACCCCAAACTCCGGAGAGTCTTGGTGGGCTGGGACTATCGAGCCTGTGCAGGGGATTCATCTGCATGAAGAGCAGTAAGACTGACCCCAGAGTCACTTTCCTCTCCTTTTTCTCAACTAGTGCAACTTCATAATCACTTTTACAGTTAAAGACCACTTTAATATTTCTGCTGTGACTTTCTTCTTGTTAGAAACAAGGACTAAAATGAGCCAGTTCTAAGCACATGGGTGACGCAGCAGCTCTGTCTCTCTCTGTACACACAAGACCGTAATTATGAGATTCAGACTTCTCCGACTTTCAAGAAGCAAATGTTAAGAATGACTGAGCCATGTTATCCATGGAAATAAGCTCCTGTGCCCAGTGCCTCTGCACATTAGGCACAGCGGCTGCACTGATAAAACCCAGCAGTCGGGCAGTCGGCCCCCATCTCCACCCTCAGAGATTCTCCCAGTGAGCAGCAGTGCCACTGCATGAGGCAGGACGTCATGACCTCTGACCTTCCCCATCGTTTACGGAAGTGATTCAAAATCATGCATCATAAAATAAATGAGTTCTTCTCCAAGGAGGGAGGGAGAAGTGAAGTCTGTGAAGCAAATAAGTAAATTGGAGGCTCCACCATAATGCCAACGCATGAGCTGTAGCTGATCTGAGTCTGCTGTTCATCCATCCAGCACCAGCGACATCGGACGAACTCTGTGGGATAGTGCAGCTCTTGGTGTCTGGAGGTAGCAGAAGTGGGTTCCAACCCTGGCTCCATTGCTCACTTGCTTTGTGACCTTGAGAAAAGCAGGTCATCCTCCCCAGTTCTCGATTTCTTTCCCCAAAGGGTCATCCTCAGGGTGGAGATCAAGGGAGGTAAGTGGACAGCGCTGGCGGCAGTGTTCACACAACAAAGTGGCGTGATTATTATTATTATTGTTATTTGGCTGCAAATAAAGGTAAAGATAAGTCATTTGTGATCAATTTGTAGAGACAAGACAAACAAATATGAAACCAACTGAACAGTAATCGGATCAGACTACTTAAGGAAGAGTGACAGGTTTTACAAGATCCCTTTAGCAGATACACCACTACGGACCATATAAATAACAGCAGATAAAGCTTCATTCAGTGCCGTGGAGGAGCTCTTGTTCCCGCAGAGGTGGAGAGAGCAGCTACTTCTAACTCCGTTTCTGGAGGTGTCCTTACAGGACTCGGCAGGCCCTGTTGGCAGACCCGGCCCCTTCACTACACTTCCAGCAAAGTTGAGAGCTAAGCAGAGCTCCAGAATCCATCCACGATGCAACTGAGCAGCTTCTGTGTGCTGTCCACTGTGTTGGCGTCTGAGTGAGCAGGAATTGGTCATCAGATGAGCCCGAATGTCAGCGCTCTCTTCCTGTTGGTTACGAGCTCTGTGTCTCTAACCATGGGGACTTCCTCATGGCAGCAGCACCAGCACAGTCAGAACTAGCTTAGGCTTTTTGCCGGGGCAAGGAGCAAGTGTGTCTTCTACCTACGGCCATTTCTGTGCATAGTTCTTGCTCACAAGGACACGCAGGTGTCTCTGTCTGCACTCCCAAGAGGGAAGTCACCTTTCGGCCTCTCCAGTTTGTGCCACCAATGGTTCTGTACCCTTGTCCCCAAAGCCTGAGCAGGTGGGTCCTTGGCCATTCTCTTTTGGCGTTAGGAATGGAGTTTCTCCCCAAACCGTAGACTTGTGATCATTGGCTGCCAGTTAGTGTTGGAGATTAGATTAGATAATCTAAAATTCTAGATTACAGGAATAAAATTTCTACTCCTGTTATAAATATCAGAGGCGCTGATGCAGTTATTTCTAGCAACACATGGAAATTCGCTTAAAGTTTAAAAAGTGCTTTTTGATACTCTGCATCCCACATTGTCGACACTTTATCCTACATTCCAACCACGCACTTACTGCCTGTCTGAACAGAGACGCAGCCTGCCATCCCTCGCATTGAGGCTCCAGTGGAGACCTCTAGGTCAGGCTGTCAACACCCAAGATGGTGCCAACGGAGAATTAGGGAGAATTAGCTGGCTCTGGAGTCTGATCCAGGACACTCGCTCTGCTAGGTCATGCTGTTGTTCCCAATAGCTTGCTGCCCACCCCTGTGAGAGGACTATACTCCCCAGTGCCCCCCGACAGCAGGGGCAGCCATATGACTTGTTTTGGCCAGTGAAATGTCAGTGGAAATGACATGTGCCATTTCTGAGCAGAGGCTTTCAAAGCAAAGGCATGGTGCTCTTTTCCTCCACCCCAAGGATGACATGTCCTGGACAGGGGCTGCTGCTTCAGCCCAGAGCCCAGAAGGAAGGAGAGATGTGGATCGGTGCTCCAGCAAACCCACAACCAGCATGTCATGTGAGAGAGAAAAGAACCCAGGCAGTGTCCACCACCGAGCTGTCAGGATCGCCTGTTACTGTGGCAGAACCTCTCGAAGCTGAGGGATGCTCCCTCGTTTAAACAGATGCAGAGAGAACTTTCATCCTTGCCATTCACTCCCTTCTTAGAAATCATTCCTGCTCATCTCTGTTTTTTTTTTTTTAAGTATGTCATGGCGTTTATTTATTTATTATTATATTTCGAATTCTGTGTAGATTACATCACGTTCACCATCAAAAGACTAGTTATCATCCATCACCACGCACATGTGCCCGGTCACTGCTTTTGCCCTCCTCCCTCCCTCATTCCCCTCTGGTAACCACCAATCCAATCTCTGTATCTACGTGAATGTTTGTTGTTTTTATCTTCTATTTATGAGTGAGATCATATGGTATCTGGCTTTCTCCCTCTGACTATTTTGCTCTGCATAATACCCTCAAGGTCCACCCATGTTGTCACAAATGTCAAGATTTCATCCTTTTTATGGCTGAATAGTATTCCATTGTGTATATATACCACATCTTTCTTGCTCGTCTTTGAATGCAAAAGCTTACCTCAACATACTTCCCATTCAGGTGAAGGTTTTTGTGCTGTTGTGTTGAAAATAATCATTAATACCTAGTTGAGCACTTTCTGTATGCTTCAAGCAACAATTTATTTAAGACAAATCCTATGTGAGTCACACTGTTATGGTGACCAACACACAAGTAACCGCCCCAAGGTTGGCCTGACGGAGCTGGGATTCGAACCCAAGCACTTGGGCTTAAATCAGACTGGAAACTCTGCACTCCACTTCCCCAGGGGCACCGGCGTCCTCCTGTGAAACTCTGCCTGCAAATGTGGCGAACAGTAGGAATCTGGTCAAACATGCTCTAATTAGCTCCACCCTGGAGGAAGACTGGGGAGAGGTTTATGAGCACTTCCTGCTGCAGAAGGAGAAAGGAAAGAATTTGGGTTTGGTGTAGAAGGATTACTTTGAGCCTGGATGCTGCTTCTGGACCCTGCTAATGTGTTGCTTCTCCCCCGGCTACAGTCAAGTCCTTCAGGTGTAAACTGTGACTCCGCGTGTCCACATAGTCTTCTGTTCTACCTTTGGGAAGACGTCTGGAAGGAAACCTCAGATGAAAGAACCTCTGTCCACGCCCCGCAACACCTGGCTGAGTGGAGCTCCCCAGAGCTAAAGGACATCAGGGAGGTGGCAATGTGATACCAGGGAACCACAGAGAATGTACTGTAAGTTTGTTTTTTTCTTTTTATTAACAAACATTAATAGAAAATTTTTCCTGGTGATGAAATTGATTATTTTGTTTGAAATTATTTATTTTATTTGAAATTGTTTATTTATTTATATATACCAGGGAACCACACAGAATGTACTATAAGTTTGTTTTTTCTTTTATTAACATAAATTAATATAAAATTTTTCCTGGTGATGAAATTGTTTATTTTGTATCTTATTGTTACAGCAAAAAGACAGTCAAGAGTTTGATGGTCATCTAAATGGTCGATGGAATTCTCCACTTTATATGTTTTTATGCAGAGCAATAAGCCTTTTTTGCAGCTAATACTACTGAGGTTTTTATGTGTTATCCTTGTATTGGTTACATATACTCTCATCAGTGTAAAAATACACTCAACACTTATTTTCAACTAGTAACTGATTTATTGTTTTTGTTTGTATTTTAACCTGTAGTGATGAAATAGACTCTAAAGCATGACAGCATTTTTGTCCTCAAAACTCAGTGTAAATGATAAATATAAAAACTCAATGCCATTAAAGATATAAACATTCTTCTTTCTAAAAAGTAGGTTTTGTTTCTATTGTAGGAAAATCTAAGTTCTTCGATAAATTGAATGTGGGGCTACAAGAGACAAGAGAAGTTGAGAACACATGTTTCAGAAGCTTGAGATTTGTTTTTTCGTTATTTTCCCCTCCTCTCTCCGCATGTTCTGTGGTTACAGACCCTGAAAAGGTGGAGCGGGAACCACATCATGAAGGTCTCCGTCTGTCCCTGAGTGCCACGTGGAGTCTGACAGGTGGCGTTCGTCATCGTGCTGCAGGGAGTTGGCTGTGCTAGGATGAGGGTACCCATGGTCTGGTCCTTCCACCAGAGCAGTTTAATTACAAGTCAATTACTGGGAAGGTAAGCAAAGCAGCCAAGAGAGCTCCGAGGCAGTGTGCCCACTGTGGCCTCCCCGTGAGCTGAGAGCCAGCCTTCTCCAGAGAAGGGCTCAGGCGTGGCACGTGCGAAAGCCTCCTCTTCAGGAGTCCAGCCTTCAGAGACCCTGGTCCAGCAGCTTGTCTGGGCCGATCTTGGCTCTGTGAGGACTGAGCAGCTGAAATGGGGTTAACCAGGTAAGTCAGGAGACAATTGTGCTTGTTTAGTGGGGCTCCTCAGAATGAAAACTGAAGCTAGGATTCAGTGCTCCAGCATCTGAGGGAATCTGAAACAGTTTCAGAGAAGCGTTTTGCAAGAAGCAAAAGCAAAAGAGGTCCAATGATCTGGTTCCACAAGCAACTACAATGGCTTGCAGATTGCAGTCAGCAACAGGCACAGGCTGGGCTGCAGAGGTCTGCTCAGACCCCGGGTCCAATGATCTAGTTCCATAAGCAGCTACAATGGCTTGCAGATTGCAGTCAGCAGCAGGCACAGGCTGGGCTGCAGAGGTCTGCTCAGACCCCACATACTCTCCTGTTCTCATTCCCCAGCCCTGGGAGCAGCTGGGTCAGGAGGTGCACCTCTCACAGTTCAGATGAGGACACTGACCCACAGACGTGCTGCTGAACTTGTCAGGTGCTGCTCACAGGAGTGAAAGCCACAACCCCCAATGCTCTGCCTGTTCATTCCTCCTCCACCCCGCAGTGTCTGTGTGTGTGTTCATGTGTGCACGAGTGTGGGTGTGCAAGTTTGACTATGTGTGTGAGCCTGAGTGAGTGTCTGTGTGTGTAAGTATGTGTAATCTTGAGTGTGTGAGCAAGTGTGAATACACATGTAAGTGTTATGATCAAATTTGCAGTTTTGAAATGTCTCCCAGGAATCAGTAAGACTAGAGAGCTTGTATTCATGGACTTTGCTAGACTGGTTTCTGTGGAGAGTTAAGAACTGGTGTTGATGGCAACGTGGTGAAGATGGCATACGCAAAAGTGAAACTATGGGTTTCCTGACAAAACACCATCCCCTCCATCAAAACCCATGAGAAGCAAAACAAAGGAAATATAATTTTTTAAAAAGAGAAATGCTATCTTCAATTAAGCAGAAGCATTTCCACAACTGCCAACTACAAACCAGGAAGACAATGTGCCAAATCCAGTGAAAATGTGCCCAATCCCCAAAAACGATACGTATGTGACAACCATAGCCAGAGATGTTTCTTAGGTGCTATGAGATCTAGGCCTGTGGTTGGACCACAGAAGAGCAAACCCAGATCAACACCAAGTAATGCCAAGGGAGAGGAAACTGAAGGGAAAATTATGCTGACAAGTATTTCCATCATCTCCCACTTGGCTTCCTTGCAGAGGAATTGACTCTGGGGCATAGGAGTGGGGCCAGGCGAGGAGACAGACAGGCCCAATGACACCGTGGAGAGCTCATACAGGGAACTTCTGAAAATTAGAGGGCACATATTCCTCAGATAAAGTAATTATCAGATTTCTCAAGGTTTGTTTGAGACCTCAAGTCTTGTTAAAAGCTAAATATTTTTCCAAGTGATTTCCACTTGTCTGTCCCTAGTCTCTTCTTAGCAGAGATCTGGCATCACAAAAAAGAGTAATAATCACAAAGGAGCCAAAAAGAGACCTGGCTCAAAGATTGAGGAAATAAAAGAAAGTAACACAAGCAAAAAAGTAAATGAATAACATACATTGAAAAACTATAGAAAGAGTTCTGACAATTGATTCACCATAATCTCAAAGAAATTGCAGAAAATACCAGCTATCAAAAAATGAGCTCATGAAATAAACATAAATGTTCAAAATTGAGACTATACAATCACAGAAGAAAGAAATAAGTGAATTTTCAGAATTATGGAAATAAATTTAAGAGAAAAATAAAGACATTTACAGAAAGTAAAGTCGTGTTATAAAAAAAACAAGAAAAAAAAAACTAGAATAAATACGACTAAAACCTGAAGGGGATATGGTAAATATGCTTTAGGAAAGCATACTATATTAAATGTAGTGGGTGTCTGTCATTAATTTTGGTCACCCAACATACGAACTTCTTTTTATGTTTGATGATTATCTTTTTTTATGCCAGATTCCCTTGCAAATAAAATAAAGACATGTGAGTTGGATTCTGCCAATGAACACCCAAAGAAGACTGAATACAGCAGAAGAAAGGATTAATGAATTCAAAGATAGGTTAGTAGAACCAGTGTCCAAACTAAAAGAGAGAGAGAGGATAGAAATACACATGTAGGCTCTGATCAAATCATCTCACGTAAGTGCAGTTGGAGTCCAGAAGAAAAGGAGAAAGAGTAGGCAGAAGAAAAGCTGGAAGACATAATGACTGAGCATTTTCCAAAATAAAAATCTTATTTGTCTTGATAAAAGAAGACATCAACCCACCGATTCTAGAAGCTCGGTGAACTCAAAGCAACAAAAACAAAACAGAATTCAACAAGACAAACACACACCTAGGCATATCACAATCAAACTCCTAAAAACAAAGATAAAGAAAATATCCTAAGGGAAGGTAAGGACAAGAGAAACATTGCATGCAAAGGAGCAAAACTTAGACTTACAGATGACTTTTGGACAAATAGGAGGCAACAGGTATTTAAAGAGTTGGGGGGAAAAATCTGCCAATTCAGCAAACTTGCACTATAACAAGTATTACAGAAGGTTCTTCAGGCTAAATGATAATGATACCACATGAAAGCATGCAACTTCAGAGAGGACCAAAGAGCACCTGAAAAGGTAAATATGTCAGTAAACATAGACAACAACATTGATTGTGTAAAACAAAAACAAATACTATAGTTTGAGGTGTTTGTAATATATGTACCTATAAAATATATTACAAAAATAGTACAAAAGGTAAGAGAAAGTGAACAGAAACTATTGTAAGATTTTTTTTCAAAGTTCAGGAAATAGTAATCATATTTATTTAATGTAAACTATAATAAGTCAAATAGTAATAAGTCTTATAGCAGTCAACATGGTAACTTCAAAGAAAATGCTCAAAAACTGTAACTAAAGAGTTAATAAAATATATATAATCAATGAAAAAAAATAAGCCAAAAAGGGACAAAAAAGAATAAAAGAGTGGAAACAAACAGAAAAAACTGAAAACAAATATCCAGGTAGTTGACTTAAATCC